GTCCGGGATGATGGTGTTGAACACTGAGCTGAAGTCCACAAAGAGGGCCTGTGCATAGGTCCCTGGGGAGTTGAGGTGTTCCAGGATGTAATGCAGTGCCATGTTCACTGCATCGTCCACTGACCTGTTTGCCCAGTAGGCAAACTGCAGGGGGTCCAGCTGGGAGTCTACGATGTCCTTCAGGTGGGCCGACACCAGTCTTTCAAGGATTTCATAACTATAGATGTCAGGGCGACAGGTCTGTAGTCGTTCAGTCTACTGATGGAGGTTTTCTTGGGGACTGGGATGATAGTGTAAACAGGAGGGGACTTCACACAGCTCCAATGACCTGTTGAAGATGAGTGTGAAGATGGGGGCCAGCTGACCAGCATGCACTTTCAGGCAGGAGGGGGTCACACCTGGCCACTTGGTGCATGAAAATCCAATATTCACTCTAATTTTAGCTCTGTTTTTTTATGGTAACACTAATGTCAACAGTGGGCATGACCTAAAATAGTAAGATTGCAGGCTGTAAAACAAAACAGTATTCTGAAAGATGCTAAAACACTGTAGCTCTGAGTGAAAGGGCTGAGTCAGGAGATAAATCTCATGGGTTTGGCACTAAAAGTAACCTCTTTCGGATTACATGTTGTCATTCGTCAGTATGGAAATTTTAATTTGTTCATTATTTTGTTTTGTTTCACTGAATACAATATTTCACTCCCGGTGGCGAGGCACACCGGCTCCCAATCCGTGGAGCATTACTTAAGGAGAGCGTTGGTGTGTTCTCGTCGCCAGATGATTTCTCGATGTCCAGCAAGTACTCAGTAAGCTTCCAATCTGACTAACCTGTGTTTCTTTTTTTGCCTTGGTGATCCCAGTTAATATTGGCTGATTGAGGCTTTGTTGAAGCTTCGACACAGTATTCACAAAAATGGTTCATTACTCGAGGCTTCAATGACACAGTGCTCTAGTGGTCAATAAAATGAAGTGCAATCAAGATGTGTCATTGGTTTATGGATTGTTTGGGATTTGATTCGCCATGCATATTCCTGTTCAACTACACTACATGGTTGTATGGTTTCAAGCTGACACAGTAAAATATGAAATAAACATGAACTCATGTTGAAAACCATGTGTCTCATTTGGTATGTCTGATTGTAACCATACAGTGGGGCAAATAAGTATTTGATACACTGTTGATTTTTCAAGTTTTCCCACTTACAGAGATTGGACAGTTCTGTAATTTTCATCGTAGGTACACCTCAACTGTGAGAGACAGAATCTACAAAAAAATTCCAGTAAATCACATTGTTAGATTTTTAAATAATTAATTTCCGTTTTATTGCATGACATAAGTATTTGATCACCTTCCAACCAGCAAGAATTCTGGCTCTCACAGACCTGTTAGTTTGTCTTTAAGAAGCCCTCCTATCCTCCACTCATTGCCTGTGCTATACTGAAATTGTTATAAAATTGTCCAACTTTCACTCTAGTCAGATTTTGCCTGCATGTTTTGAGACATTTGATTTGTACTACACTGTAAATTGCTTATTGTTAACTTAGGAACAGACATTTTAAAAAATTTCAACATTTATTTGAACACTGTATACATAATCTAACAAAACAAGACAAAGGACAGGAAGTCAGGAAAAATGACAATTAACTACATGACATGTAGCACGTGTGGTCTATTCAGACATGTTAAGTAATAAGGATAATCACTTTTCAACTCACAACGATGGCTCTAACCATTGGGGGCAACTTGGGGGTTGAGTGTCTTGCCCAAGGACACTGACATGTGGACTGCAGGCACCATGATCCCAACCACCAACCCTCCTGTTGGGAGATGACTGCTCTACCCACTGAACCACAGTTGCCCCCAAGTACCTGCCATATTTACAAAAATGTAATCAAAAGATATAATAGATAAGCTAATCTAATACAGTCATGAGTTTACATATCAGCTTCATGTTCTACAATTTTCAAACACTGATCTGAAAACTCGACAAACAGAGGCTCCTGCATCGCAGCCTTCATTGCATCCTCTTTGCTGTCTGCACTGTCAATGGAGCGTAATAACTGTCTCAGATGGGGGTTGCAAAGAAGATCCCTGAGCTCTTTGGACTGACCTGTAGAGGAAAAAAAGCAAATATGAATTAACCACATCTGACTTTTTGAAGTGTTACTATACCAGTGTTAGATGAAGGAACATCTGACATGTGAGGCTGCTGTCAATAGCATTAAGAAAATCTGAAGGATTAAGAATAAACCATAGGTTATGTTGAATACCTAACAGTTGGAGCCTTTGCAGAGGCACTTTGTCAGTTATGTTGTCTTCATTCAGAAGATCCTCAACAGGCCAAGGCTCTGCAAAATCAGTAAAGCAAAAGTGCTTTTTACACAGTGCTCCAGAAAATTGTGAAGGTTGGTGATAAGCTGTTTGACAACGATTATAATAGATCAGGGGTGGGCAATTAACTTCTAAAAAGGGGCCACATGAGAAACCTGAACTGTGCTGGACAGCCGAACCAACGATAACTCCTATTGTAAAAAGCAGTAAATGATATGTGCTGATTAGCTGCTACTGGTAATTAGAAGAATAAGCATATTCTGTAAACATTTATATAAATATATGAAACTGTGGTGTAGGTCAAACAGGAAAATACTCCTATAGAAGTAATAAACATAAAAAAAAAACAACAACATTACATCACAGTTCCATTTTATTTTCAACTTCACATAACACTGAAAAGGTGTTTTGCAGTATGGTAAAGATATGCATTTTCAGTTCATTTTACTTGTTCAGTGAGAGAAATCCAGTCTGGCTTTGGCTTGAACAAGTGCATTGAAATCTGGATTTGTTGAACTTCATCACTGAGAATGTCTGTTCACATATGTAGGTAGATGCAAAGATTTCCTGCGATGTCCTCAACCCTCCTCGTTACAGTGCGTCGGGAGAGGGGTACGTTCTCATATGCGTCCCTTTTTCTCCAGGCATATTAGTGCTGCAGAGTCCAACAAACACTAAATTAAAAACTCACCGTCAGAAAAATGCTTACTTTTTCTGGTGATTTTGTGGGATATGACACAAATAGTCTTGAAAGCTGCATCTCTGGGTATGGAAAGTTTTGTAAAAAGTCTTTGTTGGTTATGCAGTTTCACTAGCAAAGCATCCGACTCTCTTGCGCACTCTTCATCCGACAAGTTCTTGTATTTCTCCTCATGTTTGGTCACGTAGTGGCGATTCAAATTGTAATCCTTACAGCAACCTGTGTACCACAAACTAAACACACCGCTTTACCTTTGACTTCTGTAAACAAATACTTTCCAGTCCATGTCTTGTTGAAAACGCTGCATTCGGCATCAACTTTTCTTTTTTTGGCTGAGTTGACATTTTGAGGGTTAGCTGGCCAATATCACCTGTCTCTCACCCAGTAGGTCAGGGATCTTAAGTTCACCTGTGAACGTTTTTCATTCATGTTCCGATTTGATGGACCTCACGCGGGCCGGACAGGGACGCCCAAAGGGCCAGATGTGGCCTGCGGGCCGTAAAATGCCCAGGTCTGAGTTAAAGCAATGGTAATAGTCCTCTGAGCTACACTGAACCACCCATCCATATCCTCCTAACATACACTGCAACAGTAAGTAATAACACAGTGCCCCTATTTTTATAATGAGTATGTAGCAATGCATTAGAGGCAGCAGTTTTTGTCCTTTGCACGGAATTTTAAATTGTATAGAAAATGTATGTAGGGGGTGTAGTGCTTGGCTTTACTGCAGTATTTATATTTTTAAATGTCCTTTCCAAACCTATAATTAAAGTGAAGTTTAAAGGTTCAAAAATAACTCCTGAATGAACAGATGCTTGAGTTTTAACAGCAGCTGAGTGCTGGCAGTCTTATAACATGCACACATGTTGTAATTGAGAGGAAGTTCTGCTTGTCAAGTGACAACATACATCTGTCATAACAAACTGCTGCTGCAACTGGCAGGATTTATTGATAAGGGTTGTAGAACTTACCTGCAACCTGGAAATAATTTGAACTTTGTCACGGAGCCCCAAGCTGTACTGTGCTATCAGGCATGCTAGCCATTCTTCATCACACCGTATCTGAACTCTTCTGTCATGGCTGTGCTCAGGCTTCCGCTGCAGCTGGACAAAAGGTGGTGGACAAAACAGATGGAGAGGAAACATGAATGTTTAAGGTTTCTGTTTACAAAGCAACTATGTTTTTAGTGAAAAGAGGGATTTTACATACAAAATAGTGTTTATCATTGTGTATAATCATCATACACAATGCCTGTTGGTATAAAATACTTGAATATTACTTACAATAGTTATTTCTATTAAATCATTAATACTACAATCTTAATACATTGTGATATACTATATGTGTTCATTCATTCAGTGTATTACTTTAAACACATGCTTGTAAGCACAGTAAACATTGTAACAGCATAAACTTTTGGTTTTTTTTGTGTTTCCTGAAGAAATTTGTGCCATGAAGTGTTGGTCACAGACACACACACACATCACTTTATGATGCAACTAGAACTAAACACAGAGAGCTGAACATGATCATTCAGGTCTCCTGGGAATGTACTGATGTGCCAAAAAGGTTCAAGTTCACAAGTAACAAAACCCAAGGACGCAAGCCACCTGCTGCTGCTTAAACAAAACAACAGCCAAACACTGCAGGTCACATAACTGCTACTCAAGAGTAACTGTTGACCAGCCAATGCAACATTAGCATTGATCTAGACAAAGCCAGTCCCTGACCCCACGCCATCAATAATAGCAAGTCATAATCACAGGGTTTCATATTAATGAGTAGCTGGTCTTTCGTCTTTTCAGGAGCAACCAGCTGTGATGTCAGAGTAAGTCACATCAAATAAAGACTGATTTGTATATTTTCTGCTTGGTTATTTTAATGTTGAAGCAGAAAATATAAATGTAAAAAATGGCAACTTAACTGTACTAATTGATCTAGAATGCAAATACATCCTTTACAAGGGACATACATATGGTAACAAATATTGAGTTATTACAATCTTTTAGAATAAACAACTTCAAATAAAACATTCTACTGATATGTTTATAATGTATGTAAGTCAAGGCTGCAGCCAAACAACTGGGCACCAGTTGTTAGAATATATTGAAATTCACTGCAGCAGCCAGAGTAGGATATTGTTGCCCAAACCCCATATTTGATGTGCTCTCTGCTGCTGTCATAACAGAGCTTTACATAATGTGTGCTATTTCTGACTGCGGCGATGGGAAACATGATCCTAAATATCAATGCCCCATTCACTGTGCAATCCTCAGCTGTTCAGAACCCAGCTTGATGACAGTGCACAGACCTAGAATCAGAAGTCCAAAATCACCCAGGGGCAGGAAAAATAATCCAACATGACAGCTGGTATGCGGGAATGAGTAGGTGTGATCTTATGTACAGTATATGTCTCCTCACACCAAAAATAGCCCATAATTCCCAAGACTGGAACAACTCTTCACACAAAACAAATCATGGACAGTAAGCAAGTGGCTGATACATTATTTTACACATATAGAAAAATCATCACACAAAAATAAAGTGCTAAAAGAGATAGATAAAAGTGGGGCAAGTGGAACAGAAACAACTTGACTTTAGTTAAGACTTTTCTTTAGACTTTTAGTTTAGGCTGCTTTAGTTTTAGAGCTTACAACCAAGCCTGATGTCATTTTGTCATGATGTCATCATGTCTCATGTATTGCTGCATCTGTTGCTGCTTAAAGTGCCTTAGATTTTGTGTTACTTATCTACTTTATATTTCATTTGTGTTTTGTGGCATTCATGTGGAGAGCAAAGTAAGAATTTCATTGTACAGGGAAACACGTTTCCTAACTGTGCATATGACAAATAAACACTTGGAACTTTGAACTCATTTCACTTTGAACACAAAGCCATAGTGATTTATTCTATCACATTTCATGTTGGGGTTTCAGTCATGGATGATCAACCTATCCATCCATTATCTGTACTGCTTATCCTAAAGAGGGCCATGAGGGGCTGGAGCCAATCCCAGCTGACAATGGGGCGAGAGGTGGGGTACACCCTAGACAAGATAGTCTGATCAACATTAAACATTGTAGTCTCTTGCTTCATCTTACAACTATAAATCGTCTCAGATTGTGCTGGTTGGTTTAACATTTTATTTTTGGGCCCAGTTCCAATGTAGCCTTTGCCCCTACCACGTAGCTTTATCCCTAAGGGTAGGGCAAAGTGAAAGGGCTACACAGCCCTTCAAATAAAGATGTATTTCAGAGGCAAATTCAAAACCGAATTATCCAAGTCATCTAACCCAAGTTATCTGCAGTCGCTACTACACACCTCAAACAAATACACTAACATTCCCTAGCATTAGAAACTTTCCTATTCTTGCATTTTTCAAATTTGTTGTTAAAAATTGCAAACCAATACTCAGAGCCTACACAAGAGAAATCACCACAGGTGAAGATGGCACTGTGTGATTCAAAATTTCTAACAACTCATTACATTTGTTTGTTTAACCATCGTCAATAACTACCAATGATGCATTTTTGATTGTCCTATGTCATAGTGAAAGAGTTCAGCTACTACTTCTTGTAACTCTGTTTTGAGGGTTAACTCAAAAACAAGGGATCAATTTAAAATGAGGGGCAGGGGTACAAAATAAGAAATGGGCTTGGGCCTTAGTGTCCAAAAATAAGTTTAATTAAGTCACTGTTCAGGATTCGAATCAGCAAGACTCTAAAACTTAATTTACTTTTTGCTGCCATTTGGTATGCTAACGTGCTTGTTAGCATCAAGGATTCACCATTAGATGGCTGGATTCAGGGCAGCTTTGTTTGCTAAATCACAGTCTATCTTGCTGTACAAACTGATGAAACACAAGCTGGTACACTGTTGTGTGTATCAGAGCTCATATATTTGTGTCTGGAACAGTGTCAGTTTTACATACAAGTGAATGAGAAAAGGAAGTTGCACCTGCCCCTTTGTTCTCTCCCCTGAGGGGGATCTTTGTGTTTGTCCCAAATCACTATGGAGTACAGTGACAAATTTCACTCTGTTAACCACACACACACACACAGACAGTGACTGAGGTGTTTATTCCACTTCCTATTTACTGTTATGCTTACATGTATGTTAAATGAGTGGAATTAAACAGCAGGTTGAGAACTATTTTAACAGAACAGTTCCCATTCATCCCTTTCTCTTTTTGCACCTTTTTAATACAACAACATGGTTGTGCACTCACAGATGCACATACACACACAAATACAAAAGAAATAAATTAGGCACTTGGCCAAGTCCATTACCTTTTTTTAACAAAGCCATCTACTGATTTAAAGGGGAAAAATGCTGAAAAAGAAATCAATTAAAGTGAATTAGATACAGTATAACGGACAAAGCAGACATGTCGTTAAAATGCAAGCAGCATCTCAAAACCTCCCCTGAAAGAAAAAAAAAACACTCCCTCCCATCTCTTCAGCTGCTTTGGCCCTGTCCTGAGAGATTGGAGCTGCAGAATAAAGACGGCATCTGTACTCTTCCAGGTCAGCCATGCCCTGTTTGGGAAGGTTGGAATTTGAGATCCAAGGATAAACATCATCTCCCCAGAGAGGACAGTTACTCATGTTTGAATACTGCAGAGAGAAAATGAATCTCTCTACAAGCAAAACAACCATGAAGAGCACTTTTTCACTGAAACACAGGCTCTTTTGGGAGAGTTCATTCTTAACCTGCGGCTTTAGGTTTTGCAGTAACTATGCTTGGCTCATCTTCAGCTGGTTGTTTATCACATATAAAAAAACACACTATTGTGGAAAAAATTTAGAGAAATGACATTGCAAATAAAAACTGAAAATTCACAAATTCTTGAGGAAAACTACATCTTGCTTTTTCTAACAGAACCGAAACTAAACTTGAAATAGCAAAATCTTCTGCTAACATCTAAAACACAAACTAGATGTACTGGATGAAGCATTTTCTAACCCTGCACATTTTCTATTCATTTTGATTACCCATCTCTTTTTCCTGGGGAGAGAATAATGTCTCCATGGGCAGAAGCAAGAGTAAACAGCTGTGGCTTTGTGTTATGAGTGGTTACAGGTAATCAACAATGCATCCACTTACCCAAGACTCTTCACATAGGGAATTGTTTTCAGCTGCATTCAATGATTGAAAGCATTAGTGATGAATGGCAAATTGCTTAGATGGTTCACAGACTTTCACTGTGATCAGGAAAAAAAAATTGTATTTACTTATTGCTCACATTTGAGTAATGCTGTTTTGAAATTGTAAGGACACAGGAGGATGTTGTTTATGTTATTTGTAGGACCACTATCTTTAAGGCTTATATAGTCATAGGCAGTACAAACTGAATGAGAAATACACTTTACCGAGCTCCGTGTGTGTTTGTTGTACCTGGAGAATAGAGAAACAGTTTTAGGCTCTTGATAAGAGACAAGAATAGTCTTGTGGCTTCCCAGATACAGAGACAGGAAACATGTAGATCAGGAGGTAAAATGTGGTAGAGTTACAAAGAGTCCACCTTTATTTCCCAGATTCTTTCACTATAGAGTGATCTCAGTCTTTATCTTTCCTTCCTCTGACACACCTGTTTTCAAAGCAAATGTTATCAGACCAGAGGCTATCCAACCAAATCAAACAGACAAAGCTTAGCTGTTGTGACTTGGTAACATTCCTTGTTCAAAATAGCTGCTTTCTTTTCAACTAAACCACATACTGAAGGGCTCACATTAACTGCCTCGCTGTGGCTTCAGGGCATCACATCTAAACTTCATCTCCATAAAAATAAGTGGTTGTGCACTTTTCTGGGAGAAAAAATTATGCTCAGGGAAAATAATCTTGTGTTTTATATATCATCAAATGTTGTTTTTTTCTGTGGAAAATACTTGTGTTTTTACTGCTAATGAACAATTTGGCATGGAGACAATGCTTTATTGTTGCTGTTAGCCCACTAAGATTTTGCACAGCGATATAGCTGTGACTCTGCGGTGAACCAGGTCAACCAGAAGTGCAGCTCAAAAATGAGACTTTGTGAGTGTTAATTAGGCTTTTTTGCTCCTCAGACCCCTGGACACGTTTTTATACCTTCAAAAATACTGAT